TAAATTAAAATATGATGTAGAAAGTATAAACGGTTGAATTGTATTATTTTTTTTTTTAATTTACAATAATAAATTTATTAAAGGTCTTTTTTTTGAAAGTGCAATTTACAGGACCAACTCATGATTTCATATTTTTTTTTTTCCACAACCCCTCTTTATCACCACGAACCAAACCCTAGATCTAAGATCTCCAAATCACAATCGCTAGTTTTTTTTAATCTACTTTAGGCAGTATTGTAGGAACCTCTACTCTAGAGGATCTAGACGACTTGAAATATTTTCAATGTTCTGGTTTACGGAAATGATGTAAAATGAAATGATCATTCCGTCATAATGTTTAGGGTATATGGTAAATCCTTCATAACTTTTTCACTAAACTCTACAAAATTTCATAACATAAAACATAAAAATCACAACATTTTCACCACAAAAATCATAACTTTTTTTTTTTATCATAAAATATCATAACAAAAAATCATTGTGTCATAATAAAAATTACAAAATATCATAACATTAATTGCTATCTCTAACTTTTGGGTGCATACCATAAATTCACTATTCGAAATTTTGTCACAAAATGTCATAGCACACCACAAACAAACATAACTTTCATCAGAAGGAATCATAACTTCTTACGATGTACACATTTTTAAGGGGTGCACGTACTAGAATTCTTCTAATGTTCATTCTCACGTTTGATTTGCGAAAACGTGACAAGAAAAATATATATTATAAATAGAATTATCATTTATAATGACGAGGAATGATTATTCTATGGAGAGTTAAAAGAATAAGCAATTCATTCTATTGTATTTCGTTTAGCAATGGATTTGTTTTATAGTCTAGGATTCTTAATGTATTTTTGTGTCTTGAACTACTTAAAGTTGAGTTGATCTTCCATATTCTTGGCCCAAATTGGCATTTTATGATAATATTAATAGATTTAGTTTATTGATTATATTTAAGCTTGAGTTAAATTTAATTTCTATTGATTTGTATTAAATAATATTTTGTTCTTTAGTTGTATTATAGTTAAATGTTAAAAACTTTTTATTTTAATTATTTATTATTGATTATTATACCACCGCCGTTGATCTCGCCACAGCCACAGCTACAGCCGCCGATCACAGCCACAGCCACAGCCACAGCCGCTAATACCTGTGTTGATCTCGCCACAGCCGCCGTTGATCTCGCCACAGCCACGGTCTCTCAGATCTGTTACTGTTAGATCTGTACTCATATCTGTTATCTCTTTCTCTCTCTCACTTTGATCTGATTGTTGGTACATCTGTTTTTTTTTTTAATTTTTTTTTTTAGTTTAAATCTGTTGAGATGATGATTATGTATATATATATTTTTTTCAGATTTTTTTTTTTTTATAAATTAAATCTGTTGATGATAATGAAAACATTTTTTTTTTTCAGATTAATTGTTTTTTTAATTTAAATCTATTGATGATGATTGTTGGTACTCAGATTTGCTATGTTGATTTGTTGTTCTTGAACAAAATAAAAAAAAAAATTTAAAAAAAACTCGGGGATTTTTCGGGGTTGGGGAAACCTGATCCCCGTTGGGGACGAGGATGGGGAGTGATGAGTTTCCCCCCGCCGGGGATCGGGGACGGGAACGGGGATATTTTAACCTTCGGAGATGAGGAGTGGGGTCCCCGGCCCCGCCCCGGCCCGTTGCCATTCCTAAGGCAAACAGAGCATATAAAGCCTTGCTATAAGAATCAGAACTCTTGGCATTACTACCTTCAAACTTTACATTACATCATTGACATATATCTATATAAACATTGAATTCAATTACTATATTACCCCATAATCTCTCGTGTCGATCATTATCGTTATCTCGCATTGCACACAACAAGTACTGGATCTCTATTTTTGAACCAATGGGTTCGCTATTCAAATCATCCTAACAATTTCTCTCAAATTATCTCGACACTTTCTGATCAATCTTCTTCTTCCTAATGTGGGTTTTGATTTGCGTGTGCTGCTGAGAATTTGAATGCGCTGTTTCTTGAACTCGTTGTCTTCATTGAAGAGGAAGATGATGCTAAGTATATAAACAATTTACTTTTTAGAAAACAATGAAAATTTGTTTTTGTATATTCAAAATGTATCTCGTATGGAAAAAAATTAGAGACAATTCAATCCCATAAAAAAAAATTCCAGTTAAATTAATATGAATTGTCCAAACAGCATATAAAACACTGATATGGAAAAGGTCAATCTTGCCATTAGGACGTGTACCAAAATACAGGACCTGTACTCTGGAATTTGTGTACCCTGACCCGAATATGTTCTTCCCATTCCACTAATAATAACAATAATATTACAAATTCACAAAAAAAATAAATAAATACAATTCTAAATTTGTAATAACAGATTGTAATTACAGATTAATACCATCGGTTAGCTGTTCTGTTTTTTTTTTCTACACTCATAGAAACTTTAAGAGACTAAAAATTAATTTTTTTTGAAACATCACATGACTCTATGCTCAATTTTCTTATTTTTATAAGTCATATAGGTGTATAATTTTTTTTATTGGTCAGACACACAAGGGTGGATCCAAGATTCGTCGATGGGATGAGCTAATATTAAAGGTAAAATTATACAATATATTTTAAGTATAACCACATAAGAAAAAAAGAGAGTTTAATAATATAATCTAGATTAATATCTGAATTTATTGATTAGAAACAATCTAATTAAGTTGTGTTCGACGAGTCTTTAAAGATTTGAATTCATCGATTATAGAATCTAGATCAATTTTCAAAAATCATGAAAAACAATATGCCCTATCCTTTGAAGGAGAATACTCTAATTAAGAAAATTGTTTAAACCAAATATATTAAAATCGGTGATTCTGCTTTCCAAATGAGTACATAGGATACCCAAGTTTAGGCTGATAAGACCCCAAGTTCACATAAGCTCATTTAACCTCATCTCGTTGATTAACCGGATATTCACAAATTAGCAAGCGTAGCGTAAACCAAGATCCCGTTCAATAACAATTGAACCAAATTCGCTTGGTTTATTTGTTCGAGGCATGGAAGGCGGTTGCACATCAAAAAATAAGGTTTCAACAACATTAAATGTTATACTACTAGACTTCTATTTTGATTGATAGAATGAGAAAAGGGTTTTGCTTTTTTTGAGTGTGGAGGTTCTATTATTTATAACCTAAAAAAAAAATTAAAAAAAATTTAACTCTATTTAATATTAAACCAGAGTATATTCGCAATAATTTTAAATATTAGAGTTTTTATATATATCCTCAATAATTTTTATTTAAGTTTCCATTATTTTTATATATGTCCAAAAAAACTCTTTCAAAGTTTAAAAACTAAGAGCAATATAGAACATTGAATAAGGTAGCATCATAAAAATACTAAGAGCAATATAATATTTGTTGCATAAAGACAAAATTTCAAAACCATTGTTAATCAAATCCATTCTCAACCAACGAAATAAAATAATTGGTTAATTACACTTACCAAAAATGTTAGGAAAGTGGAGCTGCTCTAAGTTGTTGGAGACGATGGAGAGGGTTGTTGCCTATCTATCGGAAGATGTGAGGATTGTTTTGGAAGATTTGTTCTTTAAACAAATACAAATTTATTGGGCTGCCTATCTATTTTTAAGGGTAAGTATTGGGCTGCTATTGGGCTGTCTATCTAACTGCCTATCTATTTTTAAGGGTAAGTATTGGGCTGCTATTGGGCTGTCTATCTAAAAAATAAACAAAAAAACTATTGGCCCTTATTTGGGGCGAGGCTGGGCTGGGTTGGAGAAAAAAATTTCTACAGATTTTTTAAATTTTGGACTGGAATGTAGCCATCTATGCCCAGTCCTAAGTCCGCCCTTATAGGCACACCACCAAAATGGTGTTCTCAAAAACCAAAATAATTACCTCTAAAATATACCCACTTAATTTTTTTTTATACATTCACAATAAATATTATAAATTTTGTATTTAAAAAAAAAAATTACTTGGACATGAGCATAGATAAATCTGGAGAGTTTATTTAGAAGCTTCCCCACCATATCACAATTTTCATGTGCCCTAGTAACGTGTCAAAGATAGTCCAATCCTACTTTGGACTGGAAGAGAATCAAATTAGGAAAGCAGATTAGGAAGTTCATAAAGACAGTGAAGTAACACATCAAAACGGTGTAGTTTTTTGGCATATAATATGATCAGGTTGAATCGTGTCCCTTAAAATCTAATTTTGGAGACCAGGTACTCCTTTCCTTAATTGGAATGGAAAAAGACCTGCCCATGAAAACCCCATGAACCCTCTCTCTATCTCTCTCTCTCAGTCATTCATTCATTCATTCCCTCTCCCTCTCTCCCTCTCCCTCTCTCTAGCAATGGGTGGATCAAAGTTGATGAAAAGAATAGGCAGAAGAAGAAGTAAAGAAAACAAGAATGGGAGGGAGGTTATTGTTGCAAGCTTTGAGTCTCTTCCAAGTGAGGTGGTGGTAGAAGTCTTAGGTCGAATAGCTTCTTCTTCTTTTACTGATTTCTTCAATGCCAAGTTAAGGTATATCCCTCGTCTCACTATATAACGGCCCTGTTTGGGAAGCAGATTTTTGACTTTTAGATTAAAATATATAAAAAGACAAAATAAATTAAAATAGTCAATAAGATAAAATATCATATCAAATTCATAATCATTTCAATTTTTTCTTTCACAAATATTACATCTAACTATAAAAAAATCTAGCCATATTTCCAAACATAAAAATTTTAACCTACTAAAATAGTCAAAAACTAAAATAATCTATTAAAATAGCCAACTTTTCAAACAAGTCGAACTAATTCTAAAGATACAGAACTAATTAGGAAATTGTTCACGTAAAATGATTTGGTCATGCAGGTTAAACAGTAAGACTCTTGCTTCACTTGTTTCAGTTATATTTTTTATGACGGGTTTCTATGATTAGTTTTGGGGTGTTTTAAGGAAATGGTTAAAAATTGAATTTATATTTTTTTAATTTTTTTGACTCTTTTTATGTGAGAGATGATATGACTCAAAATATAGATTAAAAGCTGACTTCTAACTAGAATTATTGAATCTCTAGTCATTCTTTTCTTCCTTTTTCTTCAGAATTCGAACTTTCTGTTTATTTACTATTTTTTGTTTCTTGATTTTTACAGTAGCAAGATTTTGAATGAAGCAGCAGATGATAACTACATATATCAACAAATGTCCCTAGAAAAATTTCCAGTGGTACCATGGCGTGTAACTACTGAAGCTTCTTGTTTCTTGAACAAGTGCAAAGAGAGTGGAAATCCAGAGGCATTGTATAGGCAAGGAGTGGTAAGCAATATTAATCATAATAACAACAAAAACATAATTATTATTATCAAAATTAAATTTATATTCGTATTAATTGCAAAACATAAGTTCTATTTCTTCATTTTGTTGGTTTTCGCATGTGGATCATCAATAAATAGATTAAAAAATATATTGATTTGATACTTATAGTCTCGTGATTTACAGTACATCATTTATTTTTTCAAAAACTAAATTATTGTTAGTTACGATTATTGAATTAATTTAATGTCCATTCTTGTGTGTCTTTTTCAGGTTGATTACTTCAGTTTGATGAGAATAGAGTCTGGACTAGAGTCTCTGAACAGGGCAGCAAGTTCTGGACACAGAGGAGCTCTGTACGTACTCAGCATCATCTTCCTCTTCAGCGAAGACGATGAGTTCAAGAAACAGGGCATTCGAATTCTCAGCAGCATACACAAATCAAAACCCACATCAGGAAAACGAAGATTGATCAGAGAGTGTCGAGACAAGTTGAGAGAAATTGTTAGGATGATCTGGGTAGTAAACCCACTGGTTCAAAAACAGAGACCCAGTACTTGTTGTGCGATACGAGACAATGATGTTGATCGACACGAGAGATTGGGAAGAAGAAGAAGAAGAAGAGGGTGGGAGAGTGACGATGAAGATGATGATGATGAAGTTGAATGCGATGGTTGTCGATGCGATCGGGAAGTTGATTCTGTTTGTAACATGTTTCCTCGTGCTTAATTTGATTTGTTTGTTTGTTTGTTTGTTTGTTTGTTTTGCTCCTCGATTAATTGATTTTGTTTTTGTTGGTGTTTGTTGATAAATTCTGGGTTATGTTAGTGATTAAATTTAATGTTTCTGTAGAGCTATGTATATAATGTAAAGTTGGAAGTTAGTAATGCAAAGAGTTTCTGTTTCTATAGCAAGGCTTCATATGCTCTGTTTTTCTGTAGGTTGTGTTTTGTTTCAGGACTCTCTTGTCGACAGAGATTGGGAGTCTATATCAAGTCTCGGGTTAAACGAGCCGCGAGCTCGACTCCTTTGGTTATCAAGCTTATTTATTAGAGAAATGTTAGTATCATAAAAAAAATTTTATGAAAATAATTATGAAATTTAATTAGTGTGTGATATTTTATTTTAAGTGTAATTTAAAAGTCACAAATCTTTCATGATCATTTTCATAAAAGACTTTTCATGATACCTAGTATTGTTGTATTTATTAAGTTTGAACTCGGTTCAATAAGTAATTAGACTCAACTTTAGTTTAATTCGGCTCCATAGGATTATTTTTAATATTACTTATATTATTTAAATAAAAATATATTAAGTAAAAAATATTATTTGTATTATTTAATATATAAATAATATATTTATTATATAATTTAAATAAAGATTTATTTATTGAATGAACCGAGTTTATTCGAATTCAAATTCAACTCATTTATTAAACGACTCAAGCCGAATCAAACCCTTAACGAATTGAGCCGAACCTGTTCATAAACAACTCAGTTCATTTGCAGTCCTAATCAAGTCCATTTTTTTGACACATAATTCAATATTTATTATTTGAGTAAAAATTAATAAGCCCCCCCAAGTTTAGATTAATCACATTGGATTTCTTTAATATTTTAATTCATATAATATTTAACTTTATTTTTATCAGTAACTTGTTAGTTATATAAATGTAAAAATAATATTGTCATTTCTTTTACATTAAATACACATTTGACTTTATTTCTCCTTGTGTCTTCATATCATTTGCATTAATTTTGATCTTTTTAACTTTACTAAAAAGAAAATTAGTGTAATTATGCTAAAACAGTAAGACTTGCTATATTTTTTACAAGTTTTAAGGAGGTCAATATAGCACTATTTTGAAAAGATGGTTAAAAACTAACTTTTTGACTTTTTTTGGCTTTGTTTGAAAAAATGTGTAAAAAATATAATAGATGATATAATCCAAAATGAATTAAAAACTGAAATATAACTTTTAACTATTTTCCCAAAATAATCCATAGTGTATACCCTTATTATTTGGTTTATTTCTAATTTACTCCTAATATGATGAGAATTGCATTCAAAATAAATTTGAGTCACAAATTAATTTTAAAAACAGAGGCATATAAATTGAGATTATATAACTTTTTTAAACAATTAAATGGACTAAATGATAAAAAAATATTTTTTGCAACAAATATTTCACCTCCCCTTCATTTGCTCCAAATGTCCCAAATGTCAAAACAAGATAAATGCTCAAAATACGAACCCTCTCCCTCTTCACATTCGCTATTTGCCCATTTATTGTTTGTTTTTCTTGTTTCTTTAACTCAAATTATTTATAAATAAATAAATAATTATATTTTGTTCAAATTTTCCCTCACCTTCTCTCTTTCTATTTTTAAATTTTTATAAAACTTCATATTCTAAATCCGCCACCCCTAGAGGTAGCCTTACTGTTGTCCTTCCGCTTTGTAGGGCATACTTTCCCAATCTCATCCCGTTTTACCTTGGGAAGTTTGGGTGGACTTTTTTTAGCTAACCTATGGTTTCTGACTTTTAAAAAGTTATTTTGAACTGTTTAGTTAAACTTATTTCAAACAATTTCTGATTTTAACAACTTATTTTAAGTCAAAAAAATTGATTCTGAGAAGCTGCTCACTCTTTACTTTTGATTATCAGCTTCTGTTGTAGACATATTAATTCACGGTTATAGTCTTAGATTTTTTTATTTTTTATTTTTTTAAAAATAGAAAAAGACACAAATGGACTATAAAATATTATTATTATTTTTTATGAAAAATGTAGACAAATAGTGAATAATAAAAAATAAAAATTAATTGAAAAAACTATTTCATAACTTATTTAACAAACACTACTCAACAACTTAAATCTAGGGGAATTGACTCATAAATCCTAAAAGGTGGAATTGTAATCTAATCAGTCTCATATTTAATTTGTTACACCCAAAGGTCCCATTAATTGGGGGTAGACTGTTTTGCCCATGTATGTACTGTTTTTTGATTTGTGATATTATATTATAATGATATGAGTGTATGTAACGTTTTGTAAAAGCTTACTATAGAGTTTTATAGGTTTATGAGGATCTACGTTTTTATGGCCCACGTCAATTTGCTGAACCACATTTTGGTGGCCCACGTCGTACTGCAAGTCTATCCTGTGACCCCCACGTTGGTGGGCTAAAACATTTTGGGAGCCCACGTTTGAGGGAGCACACATCATTTTCCATAACCACAATTTGATGGACCACATTAGTTTGGTGAACCACTTTTTGATGGCCCACATCAATTTGCTGAACCACATTTTGGTGTGCCCACATCATATTGCAAGTCTATCCTATGAAACCCCACATTTTGAAAAGTGTTTGAAGAGTTACGTTTCGATTCTGAAGTGTGACCCACTGCAACTGAGGATTTCGGCGGCAACCATGGTGTGGTGATAGTATTGTAGGGTTTCACGACGGATTTGTGTCGCCATTGTAACGATGTTTGTTTGGCCCTATGTAAGAGGAGTCAATTTAAGCCCACTAAATTAGTTAGGTCCTATAGTCCAAGGTTGGTGGGAATTTATCGCAAGTCCAAGATTGGTGGGCCCGGATTTACCACCATCAAACGGGCCGAATCGCTCTAAGCCTTGAAAGGGTTCGGATCCACGAACTTAGAGACTTACTCGAGCCCGGACTCGAAAGGGTATTGAGCAAGCCTAGAGATCCGAGGCACTCGGACTCGAAAGGATTCGGACCCACGAATCTAGAGATCCGAAGCACTTGGCTTCGAACGGATTCAGACGCAATCTAGAAGCCGCTCCATTAATGAGTCCCAGAACACTTGCAGACTCAGAGCTTTCCGGGATCTACGTACCAGAACCATGGGCGTAATGGAGTCCAAACAAAGGACCCGATCCCGAGGACGGTGAGTGGAGATAAATTCACTCTTCGATTAAACTAGTCTATACCCGGGTCGAGGTGGCACGATCTAGGGGGTCCCTGAGACTCAACAATATTTACGGCAGGGCGTTCTCTTGAACTACCCTTGACCCTTATGTGGCAGGACATCCTCTGGGACTACCCCTAACCCTTTGGAATGATTGGGGATCATTGGTTAGGTGTGGCTAAGAAGAAGGGTTCGCCGAGAGGTTGATCTCCTCTTCGGGGTTTTCCTCATCCTCGGAGAGGTCACCTCCTCGGACAAGGTGGTTAGAGAGAATATTCCCCATGTGCCTTGCACATGGGCTCCATCCTACATCATGAGGTGCCTATAAATAGCACCCACCCATAACTTTACAAAGGATGGATTTTGGAGATTTAACTCTTGGGAAAGAACTAATTTCCCTTCTCCATTATCAACCTTGAGAGTGAAAGTGGGAGATCCATGGGAGAGCCTTGCCATTATTCTCTCTCTAGCCATTTTGCCTTCTTCTTCACCCAATCTCTTATCTCCATCATCTCATTTACTCTTGTATTCTTGAGTTGAGACTATTGAAGAATCTAAACCTCTCATTATCTTCTAGAGAATTCGAAGTTGTTCTTCAAAGATCTTCGAAGATCTTCGAATTTTCCAACGACGTTCTTAAACCCTCTCATACACCCTACATATGTAAGTTTGTTGTTTCCAAAGACGGAGGTTAAACTCTCTCTCTCTCTCTCTCTCTCCTCTATGGACAAACCTTCTTTAGCTCTCTCTCTCTCTCTCATGACCAAGAACCCATCTTTACCCTCTCTTTCTCTCTCTAGAAAAACAAGAAATGGGTTCTCTTATCCAATTTCCAAATCTCAACCTATTCGCAGAAGAACAACGACGTCGAATTCGTGGATCCCAATTCTCAAGCGATCAGAAGTATCAGCAATGATCGTTGGAGCTAGTTCAGGTTATGGATTTGGGCGTTGAGGACCAGAGGTACTTTCGAGACGTGGTGAGGACTGTCGCCGCAAAAGAAGAACCCAACACGACGCCCTACAACGTTGAAGAAGACAAACGTTTTCAACCACATAAAAGAAGGGTACATAAAGTCAAAAAACCCATCCCATAAAAAAAAACAGGATTTGGACGTGTATTAATTTTAAAAAAGGACCTATTAGACTACAACTCTCCAAAATGAGAGTTTTCAATAATTTCCTCTTAAATCTATAATCCAACAGTTATACCAAACAAATTAACAATTTTAAAATGAATAAATGTCTATGACGGCGTTTTCAAAAACGTCGCTAAATGTCAGAGTGACGTCACAGTACAGTTAGGGTAGGACATTTGGCGGCGTTTTTGAAAACGCCGCCTATACTAATATAACGACGTTTTTTAAACGCCATAAAGTTATAGCGACGGCCGCGTCCTCGACGTTTGGTACTAAACGCCACAAAAAAAATTAACGACGTTTTTAATACTTTTAGCGGCGTTTTTTAAACGCCGCTAAAAGTGAATTTTCCAGCAGTGTCTTTTTCAAATATCCATGTTCACAATTTCCTCAATTATTAGTATATCTGAATACCAAGTTCATCATGGAAACTCAGCATGCAAAATGGCAAAGCATGAGGAATAGTACACCTTAGAAATTTCGAGTAAGACAGTAATTTTATAGTATAATATCGAATGCCAAACTCAACACCTTAGATACAGAATCACAGGCCCAAGAATCGTAGTCCCAAAATCTGTCTTTTATTTATTATTATATATTCAGAATATTTATAAAGGATTGCAGTCCCAAAATCTGTATTTTATTTGTTTATT